CACACCCCCACCCCAGCTTTCCAGACAGGTCTCCGTCTTCTTCGCCCCTGCCCCTGCCTTTGCCGCAGCCTCAGGCCCTGGGTGGGCGGGAACCCCACCGGGCAGCCGGTTCAGTCTCCATGGTGATGAGAGGAGGGGCGGGGCTGCTGAGGGGGAGGCCAGCTTCTCTCCTGCTGGGTCCCCATCAGCCCCCTGGTGCCCCGTCTCCTCGTCTCCTCCTCGTCTCCTCTAATTTTATGAAAGTCTAATGACGGAGGATGTGAGACCCGAGGTTTTTTGTTTTTGTTTTGTTTTGTTTCTCCTTCTCTTTGCCTGGTGCTAAAAGGCTCTCCCTTCCTGCCCCCATCCACAACAAGAATCCTTCTGGCTTGCTTGAGAATAAAAAATGGTGGCCACCCCTGGCATCTACTATGTGCCAGACGCTTTGCATATATTATCTCCAAGCCTAAAAACAGCCCTCGAGGGAGGGCTGAGAGGGAGGGGTGATTATTCTCCATTTTGGAGATGAGGAAACTGAGCGATCGTGTCCCTGGCAAGGTCACACCGCCTTTCATGGAGAGAAGACTTCTTCCGCTTACTTGGAGCCATTGCCAGGAGGACTCGTCACCCTGGGCCCTCACCCTGGCTCTACCTTCTTGGCCCCCCAGAGTCAGATGCCTGTGTCTGTACGAGGAAGAGAGCGCCGAGCAGCAGCCGAGACACCTAGACTGATGATTTGTCAAAAACTTAGATTTTGAAAAAAAATGATCTCATACAGATTTGAACACTTGCAGTTCTCACTGCCCCCAAATTCCCCGAGTCCCCTGGGCCCAGGCAGCTGTTGCATCTGTGAGGGTGTCAGACAGGAAAGGAGCGTTATGATGGAATTCATGTGACTGTGACTTACATTGCCACCAAAACGAAATCTTAAAGCCAACTGGCAGAGTTTCTGCACAAGCCACCCCCCCCCACTTCCACGCCCAGCCAAATCCTTTTCAGTGCTGCCACTGGCCATGGAGGTGCCTCACTGCTTCACATCTGACTCTCTACCGAGTCACAGAAATCCCCAGTTGACACTGGCTTCCACAATAGGCACATTATCTCAGAGGACTCCAAAGAGACAGGGCAGGTTTACGCTGATTCAGCAGCTAGCAGACATTTGCCATCTCTCCACCTCTCTGCTCTGGCGTCTCAGATCTACCTTCACCCTGGCTTCTTTCATGGCTGCAAGATGGCTGCAGCGGCTCCAGCCATTGCAGCTAAGCAAGCTTCTTCCAGTGTCTCCTCTTCCTCTGCTCCTCTTCCTCCTCTTCCTCCTCTTTGTTGGGTCTTATCGTTACTGTAAAATATTCCAAACATGTAGATAGGAATAGACTACCCAGGTTTATAAAATCTTCACATTATGCCATACTTACCTCCTATAGTTTCTTTCCGATCTGTGAATTTTAATACACGTGTAGCTATATGTAAGGATTAGAATTTGCCCACCGTCCTCTCAAACTCTCTCCTCCTGTCCCGACTCACCATTGCTGCAAGCGTAAGGAAAATACAGCATCCCTACAGGAATTCCAAGGTGGGGTGGATCCAAGATAGTTAATTCAGGTTTTGTCCATCTTTCTACTCTGTGGTCCTTGGGAAGCCGACTTTTCCCAGAGGCAAGCGCATCGGGTTTAGAGCAGGTGGGTCCGTCGTGGCCACCAGGCTACCCCACTCTCTGTGCGACCCTGATCACAGAATCCTTTCCGAAATCCAGGTTCCTTATTGAAAGATGGGGAGACAGCGCCAGTCGTGTGATGTGTTCTGAGGGCTGAGCTCATGTGTGAATCAGTCTGCACGGAGAAGGCGTTCGGTACGTAGTCTTAGTTCAGTCACTGGCTGGCTGGAGCGTCCCGAAACCGCCAGGAAAACATGGCAGGGGCGCTACAGACTGAGCTCTCCGTCCTCTGAGCCTTGGGTCTGGGCTTGACGTGTGCAAGAGAGAGGAGTCCGTGGCTCGCATCCCCTCTGGGAGCCGCCTGGTGCTGTGAGCAGTGGCCGGTTGCCACACAGCAGTCGAGAGTGTGGGCTGGGAACCTTACAGACCTGGGCCCACATCCCAGCTCGCCGCCTGCCCGCTGTGTGAGTTTCGGCTGGTAGCCTAACCTTGCTGAACCCCGCGTTCCCCCGTGGTCCCCACTTTATCCTCAAGCAAGAGTACTTCGTGGAGGTCTGACCGCAACGTGCACTATGTACAAGGCAATCAGACGCTGCACTGTGTGGATGACCCCTTGAGAGGGTGTCTCCCCGACCTTGTTATACTAAGGAAGTGCCTCCTTCTGAGCCTCTGTCTCATAAACGGGCCCTTTGGGATTCGCTGGTCGGGGAGGTGTGGGCAGATCTTCCTTATGGTATTATTATTATTATTCTTGTTGCCGCTGTTGTTGTTGTGGTTGTAATTGCTTCAAAGCCCAGAGTAGATCACAAGATATATTTAATGGTGAACAAATGAAAGGAGGGTCAGAACCCAGAGCATGAATTCCAGACGATGTGTGTTTGGAGCCTGAGAAGCTCAAGCGCAGCCTGACCTGACGATCCCCCAAGGCTTCCAGAAGGAGGCGACCTTGGCCCTGGAGTGCCAGCCCACCTGAGTGTGGTGCTGGCGGAAAGCCGGCCTCTGAGACTGAAGGCGCTGGCCGTGCACAGAGGTTAGTTTCTGCAAAGAGCTGAGTCGCCCTCCCAGGGGACGGCAGGGACAGAGCGTGGCTCTCACTTCTTTCTCTCCGAACAGCTTCACCTCTGTTACGACACGGGCTCTGGCAGGCTGGGCCTCTTCCAGCCCGAGGGAGGGTCACAGGAAGTAAGGCAACATGCAGTTGCCAAATGGCCAAGGGCCTCCAACAGCCAAGGCCAAGTCCCCTCGGCCACATGCGGAAATCGGCGCCTGTGCTCAGCCAGCCCCGGGGGCCGAGGATGGTGGTCCCAAGGAGAACTGTTGCTGGGAAAGAGCAAATGATCCCTGCCTGGCCCTACCCAGGGTGATAAGAGCACGGGGCCGGGGACACAGACAGGCGGGGATGAGAGGAAGCCAGTGACAGACAAGGGCCTGGCTTTGGCTTTGCCTCTACGTGGCCCTGCCTCTCTGGACTCCAGGGTCCCCGTCCATAAGAGCAGCCTCCATCTTTGGAGGGCTTAAACCGTGCCAGGAATGAAGCCAGGCCTTTGGCTAACGTTCCCTTTTAATCCTCCCCCATCCCTGAAAGTAGGTCTCCTTGGCTCCATTTCACAGATGAGAAGCTTGAGGCTCAGAACTGTGAACCAGCTTGCCCAGGGCCACACAGCTGAGAGGTGGCAAAGGGATGTTGAGGGCTTCTGAATGAGGGGACAGAGGACGTCCTGCCAGGTTGTGGGGTGACAGACCAGGTGGAGGGAACAGCTTGAGCCAAGGCACGGAGGGTGAAGATCCCCAGGGGCCGCAGTGTGGACTGCAAGGGGGAAGGTGCTGGGGGAGGGCCGTGGGGCCAGGCCGTGGTCTTGTTCTTGGGGACCAGGGACCACCCAAGTTTTTCAAGTACGAAGGTCGGCCCAAGACCCGTAGCTGGATTTGCAGCTGGTGGGCCGAGGAAAACCACAGCAAATTTAGCAACTCTTTTAAATGAATTTGCATTTTTCTGGCCTCCCCTTTGCAGGCATTTGACATGAGGAGCTGGGGGCGTGTTTTGATGATATTTGATGGTGTGGCGAAGGGACCTCTGAATGCCCAAAAGTTGCCCTGTCCGTTCCCTGCCCTCCCCCCCACCCCCCCACCCTGCCCGGCCCTCACTACACCTGGGAGCTGAACCCAGAGACCGTCCTGTTCAGAAACAAAGTATTGATTCATTGTCATCTGGGCCAGTGGCCAGTGGCCGGGCTGGGCAGGAGCCAGAAGGCAGTGGGACGGGCCTCTTCCCCCTGCCCAGCCCTTCTCGTCCCGGCCTTGGGCTGGCCTCTGTGCTGCGTGGGGGGAGGAATCCCAAGGATGGCTGGCTTGGCTGGTGGGGGAGAGAGGGAGAGAGTTTGCGATTACTAACCAGTCGCACAGTTTGAAGAACAGAGAAAGGGACCCTGGGCCTCCAGCCACAGAAGCTAGGACACCAAGGCCTAGCGGCGTCCTAAATCCGACTGATCGGAGCAGTAACTCCAAATTCCTAGGGGTCGGGGAAGGGCCAGAGATCAGAGAGGCAGGTGGGGTGAGGGTTTCTTCCCCCTGACTTGAGGACGTGTGCCAGGCCCCCAGACAATGCTTCATGGCCACGTGGGTTTGCAGACCCTTGGAAAGAAAGTCAGAGCCTCTATCCCCGTGCCCACTGCGAGTACCCACAGCCTAGAGGCCAAGGCTTCCTTGGTGACAGTTGGGACCATGGAAGGACTTGGAACCGAGATGTGCTTTCGTTATCGGGTAACATTTATGGGACACGAACTCGACACAAACGCACACAGTGGCCGCCTGAGCCGCTCAATTAATTTTTAAGAAGTTCACTCTGCCTTCGCGGTAGAGGCCTGGAGAACTTCCTACGATTCCACAAGTCAAACTCTAATCCTTGGCGCAATTCCTTTTCTGCTCCGATTAGCCACAGTTGCTCTCTGTTGCTTGCAGTTAGGAACAACACCCGCGTCTGTGCTGTGTACAAGGGCACACACGTGTGGCTCTAAGGAACTGAGGCGGCCACAGGGACAAGTACCACCACAGGCAGTGTCCTCGGGTCGGTTCCCAGGTGCCTGAGAGTCTGAAGGTGGTTTCTTTTTGGAGAGAAAAGGCAGACGAGCCTTCACAAAATGGCTCCATGTGCCACATCTCATTTAACTCTCTCCACCAAGGAAGGGGTTAGCATTCATGTTGGACAGATAAAGACACCGAAGGTCGGGAAGGTTGGCAGGTCTCAGAGCGACTAGGGGATGGGGCTGAGGAGAAGTCCACACCCTGGCCTCCTCCCACCACACCCTCTTCCTGCCCCATGACGTTGACGCACTGAGGGCTCAGTGGCCGGAGAGGTAGCTAGGTGGGTGTTGACGGAGACACAGCTCTGTGACGTCGCCCAGAGGAAACCCTGGCTGGGCCAGTGAGCGCCTCCCTTCCCCCGCCACCACACGTCTCCCAGCACATCAGTGGGTTCTGACGTGGGCCGTCCACGGGCTCCAAGAGAGATCAGTCCATGGGGTGCCCTGCCGGCCATCAAGAGCCTACTGTGTCCCTTGTCCTGTGGTATGCATTCCTCAAAGGGTGAACAACTTTGGGGCTCTGCCCGCAAGTTGCTGCCAGTCCAACTGGGGATGAGGTGACTGCTATAAACTGGGGCCACCCTTGCTGGGCCAGAGCTGGCGCTCTGCACGCGTAATGGGACACCGTTGTTGATGGCTGGAGATACTCAGTCTCTGCTCAAGCCCTGCCTGCTAAAAAGAGCCTGGCTTTGCCGACTCAGCTTCTTCCGTCCCCTGCCACCTGAGGAGGGGGCTGCAGGGTTTTCTGGAGTTCTGGATGAAGAGGGTGGGGAAGGACCAAGGTTCTAGGTTCTAGGGTCCCCTCTGGGGACAGATCTGGAATCTACATGTGAACAACAAAGATTCTTACCTGTTTCCTGATTTATCCTAAGTATGGCTCCTGGCATCCAGTAGGTGCTCAGTACATGCCTGTTGGCTGAACCAAGGGAGTTTGGAGCAGGAGGACCCCGAGAGACATGGCAGAGATGGAGGCGAGGGAAGCGGCTGGCTGAAGAGACGGAAAGATTAGAAAGTGTTTCTGTAGACTGTGAGTATTCCCTTCAGGATGCTCTAAATCACCATGAAGAACTTGACCCGTTTTAAATTCATCCGGGGGGTGTCGGGTCTGCGACCCTGAGACCGCCACATGCCCTGGGATGGGGCCAGTAGGCTCATACATCTATCGGCTAGATTCCCACAACAATCCCTTTATTTTTTAAATTTTTTAATGTTTATTATTTATTTTAGAGAGAGAGAGAGAGAGTGAGCGAGGGAGGGGCAGAGAGAGAGGGAGACACCGAATCTGGAGGCTCCAGGCTCTGAGCTGTCAGCACAGAGCCCGACGTGGGGCTCGAACCCACAAACTTTGAGATCATGACCTGAGCCGAAGTTGGAAGCTTGACCGACTGAGCCTCCCAGGCACCCGATGCAACAATCCTTCTAAACATTACTGACACTTAAATGAGCCAGGTATCCTTCTAAGCTATTTGTACGTGCACACCCGCACATATGCACACACAACATCCTGACGATGTCCACACCATCTTTATCCCCGTGTTACCGGGGAAGATACGGAGGCACAGAGAAGTTAGGTAACTGGCCCAGGGACACACAGCGGTAAGTAACGAAGTGGGAGTTGATCTGGCGGGTGCCAGAGGCCACCCTCTTGACCTTAACAGTTATCTACAAGAGCCTGGGGAGCGAGGGAGGGGTGAGCCGGCTCTGAGGGGCAGGCTGCCCTGAACGAGACTTCTGAGTCTGAATTTCTGTCCCTCCTTCCAGTCCCCGGCCTTGTCTGCCCAGGGAGGAAAAATAAACATTGACAGGACAAGACTCAGGGTTCATTCGGGGGCTGCTGTTTTCCCAGCTGCAGAGTGGCCGTCTCCTCCCAGCGTCCCCAAGCCAGCCCTGGACTCCAGCGGCTCCAAAGAGCCAGGACAAAGTGTGCTCATCATGGGAAAATGAGCAAACACAGGAGCAAAAGAAAATAAAGATGAGCTGTAACCCCTGCGCTCAGAGAGACTCCTGGACACCGTTTACGATGCTTATCTGGCAGTTTGACTTTCTACCAGTGTGTGCATATGGGCGCGCACACACACACACACACACACACACACGGAAGCTCATTTTACAGTTGTAGGACATGGATATTCATCTGACGATACTGTGGATGTTAATTCCATCTCATTGAATTGTTCTCGCACAGCAGGTGTTTTTTTAGCTCTCACATTGCTGGCTCATTTCATTTACAACATGCGGCACGTCTTACAGTTTGCATTTTGTTATTGAGGCGTCATTCGCCTACAGGAAGAGCCACCCTTTCTAGCGTTTAGGTCTCAGTTTTGAGCCGACTCACGGCCGTGTGATCACCACCATAATCAACACCAATCGCCTTCCTCCCCGACAAGTTCCCTGTACCCCTGTGTAGTCAGCCCCGCCCAACTCCCCAGCCCCCGGCAACCCCTGGTGTTTTCTTTTCCCAGAAATTTGCCTGTTCTGGAAAGTCATGTAAAAGGGATCACAGAGTATGCAGCCTTTGAGTCTGGCTTCCGTCCCTTCACATAGTGCACTGAGGTTAACCATGGAGCTACAATCTATCAGCAGTGTTTCTTTTTATTTTTTTTTCAACGTTTTTTTTTTTTTTTTTTTTTTTTTATTTTTGGGACAGAGAGAGACAGAGCATGAACGGGGGAGGGGCAGAGAGAGAGGGAGACACAGAATCGGAAACAGGCTCCAGGCTCTGAGCCATCGAGCCCGGACCGAGGCCTCGAACTCACGGACCGCGAGATCGTGACCTGGCTGAAGTCGGACGCTTAACCGACTGCGCCACCCAGGCGCCCCAGCAGTGTTTCTTTTTAGAGCTGAGTAATAATCCACTGTATGGATATACCACAGTTTGTTTATCCATTCCCCAGGTGAAAGAATCTGGGTTGTTTCCGGCTTTGGGTGATTATGATTAGAGCTGCTGTAAACATTCATGTGCAGGCTTTGGTGTAAACTTATGCTTTTATTTCTCTTTTGGAAATTCCTTAGGTTGGGATTGCCAGATCCTATGGTATGAGCCTAAACACACATCACATTTTGGGGGGGGGATATGTAAAAAAAAAAAACGAATTGCATTTATTTGTGGTGTTTTTTTTAATTTTTAAATTTTTAAAAATGTTTATTTGTTTTTCAGAGAAAGAGAGACAGAGCACAGGCAAGGGAGGGTTAGAGAGAGAGGGAGACACAGAATCTGAGGCGGGCTTTAGTCTCTGAGCTGTCAGCACAGAGCCCGACGCAGGGCTCAAACCCACGAACCATGAGATCATGACCTGAGCCAAAGTCGGACGCTTAACCGACTGAGCCACCCAGG